AGGCCTGTGGGGCCACTGCTGCGGGCTGCAGAGCGGTGTGAGGAGAGGCGGCAGGCACCCTCGCAGGCACCAGGCGCTCTCAACCGCGGCCCCTCAGGTTTCTGCTCCCCGCCTTCTCAGAAGGGCCGTACAGCATTTCAGCCCCTCCTGGTCTCCAGCACAGAGAGGCACCTGGTGCACAGCACCATCCACACATGCTCGTGGGCTGCACTGTCCCCAAAGACACAGCCGGCCACCTCTCCCTCTGCCCATTCCCCCACCCCAAAAGCAAGTACCCCGCTGGCTCGCCTAACGGAAGCACTCAGGACTGGTTAACCACAAGACCAACGAGAAACCGAGGACAAAATGGGAGCAGCTGCAAGAGCTACAGTGCTGTGTTTGACAAGTGCCACTGGACACGCAGCTGGCAGATGTGACCACACGATCCTCGGAGGCCAGACTCTCAGGGCACATTTCAATCAGACAGCAACCAGTGTACAGGCTTGCCAAAAATCACAAGCCCCAAGACTTGAACTATCAATTTGGAGTTCAAAACACAGCTTCCAAGATTTAACACTTTCTTGATTAAAACAAAAAAACAGAAAAACACAACTGAGTCAGCAGGAATTTCCAAGTTGCTCGGGTGAACGAGCCCTTGGCCCAGCCATTTTCAGGAACACACAGTTCTTCAAATCATACTCTGAACTCTCGCTTCCTGCCTAGCTAACAGATCTTGAGCTAATCTAAACTAATAATTATTTTGGCTAAGCCAAACTAGGTTTTTAACTCCTTTTGGAAGGAAGGGGTGGGGTAGTGGGAGCAAAGATCCATTACACATTGTTTGAAGACAACTAATGAAGAAACACAATTAAGCAACTTTTAGGGCCAACTTTTTGTGGCACAGCAGGTGCCGCCTGCAACAATGACATCAGCGTTCTGGTTCCACTCCTGGCTGCTCTGCTTCTAATCCAGCTCCCCGCTAATGCACCTGGGAAAGCAGTAGCAGATGGCTCAAGTACCTGGCCCCCTGCCACCCACAAGGAAGATCTAGATGGGGCTCCTGGCTCCTGACTTCAGCTCTGCCCAGCCCTGGCCATAGTGGCCATTTGGGGAGTGAACCAGTGCATGGAAGCTCTCTCACTTTCTCTCCAGCTGCCTTTCAAATAAATAAATATTTTTAAAAACTGCCTAAGTCATACAAACCACTGTCTTCTTTATACTCTTTTAATTCCTTACTGTAAATTTTTTAAGTCCTACACTATATTCTTTCCTACAGGAATTCTCCATCCCCTCTAGTGAGAGGAACAATGTTCCATTTGAAATTCCACTCTGTTCTACATGGCCTTCGCAAATGCCTATCCCTCCCTTCCCTTATTTACCCATTCTCTCCAAATTATGCCTTCGCTATTCTCTTGTAGGATCCTATGGTATGACTTCATGGTATTTGTTACGATTCTGAAGAATCTTGCCCCCTCCAACCTTTTTTAAAAATATTTATTTACATTTATTTGAAAGGCAGAGTTACGGGGGGGGAGGGGAAAGAGAGATCTTCCATCCACTGGTTCACTTCCCAAATGGCCACAATGGACCAGGCTGAAGCCAGGAGCCAGGAACTTCTGGTTCTCCCGGTATGAGTCAGGGGCCCAAAGATTTGGAGCATCTTCCGCTGCTTTCCCAGACAGATTATCAGGAAGCTGGATCAGAAGAGGAGCAGCCAGGATTCCAACTAGCACCAAATATGGGATGCCATTGTCACAGGAAGCAGTTTAACCCACTCGGTCACAGCTGGCTCCTTCTGTCCCTATTTTACAAAGACCCCAAGGTCCAGAGAGGTAAAATGAGATTTCTCACTGTCATATAATTCATAAGCAGAGATTAAGCCAAGCTAAGAGTCCAGAACTCATGTACCTTCCACTTAGTCCTCCCTCTTAATTAGGGTACACATCCCCCACAAGGGTATACACACCCACACCAGGCACACAACCCCCATCAGGTGCATACACCTCCACCAGGCGCACAACCCCCACCAGGTGCACACACACCCCCCACCAGGTGTACACACTCCCACCAGGAGCACACACCCCCACCAGGTGCACAACCCTCACCAGGCACACAAACCCCCACCAGGTGCACACCCCCCCACCAGGTGTACACACTCCCACCAGGCGCACAACTCCCACCAGGTGTACACACACACACCACGTGTACAACCCCCACCAGATGTACACATACCCCCCACCAGAGGGCACAACCCCCACCAGGTGCACAACCCCCACCAGGTGCATACACCCCCACCAGAGGGCACAACCTCCACCAGGTGTACACACCCCCAACCAAGCGTACACACCCCCCACCAGGCGCATACACCCCTACCAGGTGCACACCCCTCCAGAGTGCACATACCCCACCAGGTGCACACACCACCACTAGGGTGCACCCCCCACCAGAGTGTACACACCACCACCAGGTACATAACTCCTACCAGGTGCACAATCCCCACCAGGTACACATACCCCTCCACCAAGGTGCACACACCCTCCCCAGGCACACACACCTCCACCAGGGGCACACCCCTCCAGAGTATACAATCTCCCAGGGCACACTCCTATGGCCACCAGGGTGCACACATTCCCACTAAGTGTACACACACCACCACCAGGGTGCACCCCCCAACCAGGTGCACACACCACCACCAGGGTGTATCCCCCACCAGAGTGCACACACCCCCACCAGGTGCACAATTCCCACCAGGTGCACATACCTCTCCACGAGGGTGCACACACCCTCACCAGGGGCACACCCCTCCAGAGTGTACAATCTTCCAGAGAACACTCCTGTAGGCCACCAGGTGCACACACCCCCCACCAGGTGCACAACCACCACCAAGGCACACACACCCCCACCAGGTGCACACCCCTCTAGAGTGTACAATCTCCCAGGGCGCGCTCCTGTAAGCCTACAAGGAGAAACCACAAGACAGAGTGTGGTCCTTTTTTGGAATTTTTTTTCCTAATAGTAAACAACATAAAATATTTTTGTGGTTTAAAAAATACATAGATATATTTTAAAGTTCAATAAATTTAAAGGAATCCAAAAAACAGAACAGAGAAGCAAAAAGAAATTTCGCGCCTGCTGCCCAGGCCTGCTCAGGGACCTCCGTGGAAGGACATGGAAAGTGCTTATTCGTCACCCTGTCTGCATTTCATGCCCCTTTCCCTTGTTGCTATATTCCTCAAGTGCCAGCATTCCAACTTGATGTTCATTTTCCACTCCCGCCCACCTTTCACTAGGAAAATTAGAATATTTTTAAAGAATGTCAGTGTACCAGCCACAGGTATGTCATTTTCAAAAGCATTAGTCATTTATGAGAACGAATTTTTGTAGGTACAATAAATCTGATTGATTTTTATTACACATCTTAGCTTAGAATCACTTTTACATTCCTAGACAAAGAGATGATACAAATAAATATCAACTGTAAAACTCAGAACCCCAAGTATTGGCATATTCTTTGTCTAAAGGTAGCCAAAGAGAAGGTCAAGATCACCATTAACTCCAAGGAGCCACAGTGCCCACACGCCTCCTGCCTGTCTGGGATCGCTCATTCCATAAATAGCCTCAAGAGCATTTCATTCAACAAACAAGGGCAGGAGAAAGATGGCAGATTTCTGGACAGCACTAGACAAAGCCTTGCGTAGCAGACAACAGCCAGGCCACTTCCTTATCTAGCGCCCTCTGAGCGTTTTCGTATGGCTTTTGGTGTCTGTTAACAGCCCATTTTTGTCCACTGATGGTGTTCAGGTGGTCCTAGGTGTTGTGCGCAGCACGCTTTGACCTCAGGTGGCTGAGGCGGAACTGATACCCCACATTAACGGGGACTCGACACTTTTCAAACTTGGCGACGATTCTGCATTCAGTGAGGAAGGACTTGCAAGAGTCAGCAGGGAAAGGCGGCGAGTGGCCCACGCCTGAGTGGCGGAGCACTTGGCGCCCTTGGTCGCGGAGGGGTGGGTGGAGCAGTTGGAGCAGCGTGCAGGCCTGCGATGGGGAACAGTCTAGCGCTGGGTCCGAGCCCTAACAAAGTGCTTCATGCCGATGATTTGTGTAGCCTTGGGTTTGGATTCCAGGGGTCCAGGAGACACACGACTTTCTGTATGAAGCCAGATACAGTCTACTAATCAGCGCACACGTGGATCTGACGAGCGCGCACAGCCTCCACCTCCTTCTCCCACAGGTCTTCTCAGATCCAGTTAGAGACTCGCTCCCACACCTCACTAGCTGCTGCTGGCAGGAAGGCCCTCGGATGGCTTGGAACATTCTAGCATGACTAGATATGAACGCCTGGCCCCTCGGTGGGCTTGGTAGGTCCTCTACACACTTGGCTCAATCCAGAACCCAGAGCAGCAGCTCTGATGGCAGCAAGACACACTACCATCTGCTCGATTCGAATATTTATCGGATCCATTTTGAGAGAAGAAAAGCACCAGAAACTGCTTGGCAAGGAAGGGACAGCTTCATTTCCCAGGGAGTGTTCTCCTTTGTTCCACACCCCACAAACACAGCCTTGCACAAGGCAAGCTTGTTTCCGTAACCCTGTCGGTCACCTTGGCGTTCTTCGTTTGCCTTCTTGGTAAAGTTCTCTGTGTTACTTAACCACCTTTGGTCAGCACAGCCATTCTGAGACACCTGTACTAAGGTTTAGCGTGAGCTCGAGTTTTCAGCTCTCTGATCTGCAACACAGATATTTTCGGCCTGTAGAATTCAGACTAGCTTTGAGGGACATGTCGCCAGTGGCCAACCAACTTGGGCTACACACCTCAGCATCTGTCTTCTAGTCAGACACATGCTTAGTAAGTAAGAAGGAAACAGGGTTTGATCCAAGAAAAGCCTAGGGAAGGCTCTGTGAGGCTCTGGGAAGTGCTGCACAGAGCCCTGTTCAGAAAGAATGGTTACGGCAAAGCAGATGGGCTACTGGACGGCAGATCTCCATCTGATAGAATGCTAAGACATTGCACTTGGTACCTTCTCTTTCCCACGGGCTCTGACCCAGAAATGTGCCCTGGGAACTGGGCAGCTTAGTTAAAATGTAACTCCAGGCCCACCCGAGTCACCACCTTTCTGGGGCACCATGCCAGCAAGGTGCGCCAGTGTGGCAGACCTGGGGACTCAGACTGTCGCCTCAGGCTTGGCTCATGGACTCAACGCCCGCAAGGGAGGGCTTCCAGCCTGGACTAGTCATTCAATGGGCCTTTAATAAAGACAAAAGGCAAAAACTGCACATTAGAGTAATTCTAAAATTGGGCAAGTTCTTGGTCTCTCGTTCTCTCTTACAGACACACACAGACACACTCACAGGACACAGGCACCTTCTGCTTGCACACCCATACACACCTATGAGCTTCTCTTGGGGCAAAAATAAGGAAAATTCATCTAATGACCAACATAAAACGAACCTTTGAATCCCAGTAATATGAAAACTAAAACTTACAAAGCAAACTAATCTATGTAAATGGGAATTGGAACTCTCTCCTCTAGCCTATTCAAGTACATGGCCACTCCCCACCAGCATCTCGGGCTGCACCTGGGGGGAGCCACAATTCTGGGACTCGCCGTGTTCTCCGCAGAAAGCGGGCAGGGTTCCTTGGCTTCCATCTGTTAGACCTTCCCTTTCCACTGCACTGACTCCCGTGTCTCCATTTCCACCTCCGCCTGGCTGCTCTTCTGCTCCCTGGCAAGAAGCAACAAAGTGGGGGACACCAAAGTGCCACCCCGTGTTCATTCCGCAGCTCTAGTCCCATCCGAGAAGGCAGAACCAGCCTCCCTTCTCCCAGAAAACACTCCCACTGCAGAGCACTCTCTGGAGGCAGACAGAGGACCCCCGCAAGGATGCTCCGAGCCTGCGCACATGGGGGAAAGTGGAGACAAATCAGGAGCAGAGTGGCATGCTGTGTGGACGTGGCACCAGCTTACGGACAGAGGTCTTTGATGGGGTGGTCTCGGATCTGAGGTTTTAAAGAAGCTGCTTCCCTAAGCTCTCCACAGAGGCGAAGGGAACACCACTGACAATGAATCCTTCAGGAGCAGAAATCAGAAGAGAGTCCTCATTCAGGTCATCCCCAAGGGCAGGTCCACTTCTTACTGGGGTGCATGGAAGCCAGAGGGCTGGTGGGCCCGCCTGGGGCACGGGTCCAAACGTGGTTTCTCAGTCTTCCCTACAAGAACAGGCACCCATTCAAGTTCTACAGCGTTCACGTTTCAGTCTCACTGTCACTTTATCCTGAGGCTCCAAAGGGTCCTACTAGGGTGACTCCTGATTCTGCCCTAGTGTTCAGCAAGAAGGGAGCCCCGCATAAACAAGAGGCTGGAAATGGGGAGGGGACAGTGCCAGGGCAGGGAGGGGAAGCAAGGTCACTGCTCATTCTCTTGCTTTCCACTTGGACTACCGCACTTTACCTTACCCATGCAGTTCTGAGATGCTAATGAAAAGACGTTGCCCAGGGAACCGAGCACCACGTCGGGAGCAGCAGGCTTGCTCAGACCAAGCTGGGTACTCCACGAGGGCCATGGCGTCTCCCCAGGGGAATGGTGTGGAGCTCGGGCTCCAGTCCTCTCTGCAGCTGGTGCTCGTCTCTTCTCACAGAAGGCAAACGCTCGCTTATGCCCTGGGAGAGGCAGCACCGGCCTCTACTTGGGAACCAGCCCCCGAGACTGCGGGTAAAGCTGGGACGCAGGGGTTCCTGAGGAAGACGAGGGTCCCGACTTCCTTCCACTCTTAGGCCTGCAAAAGGCAAGCACATGTTGACACTGCGTGGCCCTGTGCTGAGACCAACCTCTCGAGCTGGTAAATAGACCCACTAAACGCACAGGCAGGATTTCCTTCACTTGTGATTTTCCTTAAATGTCTAATCCAGAATTTAACATGACAGAATTCCAAATCGTGCACAAAGGGGCAATGTGAATTTATGTGGAGGCTCAGAGCCTGGACTGCAGTAATTTATAAAGACCCACGTTTGAACTCTGGCACGGACAACCTACTTTCTGGGTTTCCTTAGACCTGGCTGCTTTCTCAATTCTCTAAGTCTCGGTTTTCTCACTGTAAAATGGATGCATGATATGTATTGCCTTATACATCTGTGCCGGAAATCGTTAAGAGAATTCTTGTAAGGGAATTACACTACACGGCACCTGGTAAGGACTGAAGAACTGCCTCCCTATCGGGTGCACCCTGGGTGCATTAGGTACTCTGGTACTCAGTACGCCTGGCACAGTGTCTCCACCACAGATAGCTGTGGATAAATGAATAAACACAGGAGCAATGTGGCGACGTTTTCTAGTGTGTTCCGCAAGGAGCTCCACCACTACAAGCCTTCTTGCTGCCCTTTGCCCTGGTTCGTCCTTGTTCAAACACAGGTCATCAAACACCACTGACCTGGCCTTGGATTTCTTATTTGCGGTGCTTTCAAAGGATGATGCATCCACCTGGATCTCATCTTCATCCTGCAGGGCTGCGTCCAATGCAGCCTGCACCTTGGGGGCGATGGCTGGGCCTTCATAGTCTCTGGTGGTCCGGCTGGGCATATCCAGCTCTAGCAGCACGATGTTTTCTGCCTGAGAAGCACAGCCATCGAGGTTAAGGCTCCGACCAGATACAGAGGACAGGTGATCGAGACCCCATCCAAGCACAGAACTGCACATTGTTTGCCGCCCAAGCCTACCGAGAACCTGCCCAGAACAAGTGGCAATATTGCAGATGATTTTTGTTTTCTTCTCTATGCTTTTCTCTGTTTCCCTAGTAAAAACTCATTTATTGCACACAATCTGGAAATACAGAGAGGGGTAAAGAAGTGCAATCACCAGCAGTCTCCAGTCACAGCAGCTTTGACGAACCTCTCAGCTGCGCAGGGGAGGAGGCACTGTGGTGCATGTATGGCGAGGGTGTGCACGGCAGCGTACACATGCTTGGAAACACATTTGAAAAACAGACTGCAAAATTTTCTGTAAATTCTACCTGCTCTGAAAAAGACATAATGCCCTAATGATAAAAGACTCTCGTGTGTGTGTGTGTGTGTGTGTGTGTGTGAATAAAGATTTATTTATTTGAAAGGCAGAGTTAGAGAGAGAAAGGGAGAGACAGCAATCTTCTGGGGCCAACGCTGTGGCGTAGCGGGTAAAGCTGCTGCCTGCAGTGCTGGCATCCCATATGGGCACCAGTTTGAGTCCCGGCTGCTCCACTTCCAATCCAGCTCCCTGCTACGGCTTGGGAAAGCAGTAGAAGATGGCTCTAGTCTTTGGGCCCCTGCACCCGCGTGGGAGACCCAGAAGCAGCTCTTGGCTCCTGGCTTCAGATCGGCCCAACTCCTGCTGTTGGCAGCCGTTGAGGAGTGAACCAGCAGATGGAAGACCTCTCTCTCTCTCTCTCTGCCTTGGCCTCTCTGTAACTCTGCCTCTCAAATAAATAAAATAACCAAAATAAATAAATAAGCAACAGGGGTGGCATTTTGCGTAGACGCTAAGATGCCACCTGGGACACCTGCATCCCACATCAGAGACCCAGGTCAGAGTCCTGGCCCCACTCCCAGTTCTAGCTTCCGGCCAGTGCACACCAGGGAGGCAGCAGGCAGGGGCTCAGGACTTCAGTCCTTCCCACCCACAGGACTGAGTCCTGGCTCCTGGCTTTAGCCGTGGCTCAGCCCTAGCTGTCGTGGACATCTGCGGAGTGAACCAGCAGACAGGAGATCACTGTCTGCTCTCTGACTTTCAAATAAATGAATAAAAAATGTTACAATAAGTACTAAAATCAGATTGGCCCTGCCTCAGGCTTGGCTGTGGAGACATCCTGTGGTGAGCCTTTCCTGGACACTGAGACAAGCATACTGAGGGAAGAGCACCCATGACTACGCATGCGACCTTCTCCTCTGGCTTTTCTCAGTGGGGCCTGGCCCCGGGGCTCCACAGGGGCGGGAGGGGCCGCTGCAGGAGAAAGGTGGGCAGAGGCAGTGACTCCACTGATCAGTTTTAGATGCTAAGCCCATGCATAAAACCCTCCCTGATGAAGCAGGTCCACTCTGAGAACACCTGACAGTCACAGCTTTAAAGTCCACCTTTGAGGGCCGGCGCTATAGCGCAGCAGGTAAAGCTGCCGCCTGCAGCGCCGGCATCCCATAGGGGCGCCAGTTCGAGTCCTGGCTGCTCCACTTCCGATCCAGCTCTTTGCTGTGGCCTGGAAAAGCAGTAAAAGATGGCCACCCTTGGGCCCCTGCACCACATGGGAGACCCAAAAGAAGCTCCTGGCTCCTGGCTTCGGATCGGTGAAGCTCTGGCCATTGCAGCCATCTGGGGAATGAACCAGCGGATAGAAAATCTCTCTCTCTCTGCCTTTCAAATAAATAAATAAATAAATCTTTTAAAAAAATAAAGAAAGTCCACCTCTGGATTAGGTCAGTCCCAGAAAGCCACATAGGACTGGACTTGTGGGCTTCAAAGTCACGTTTCTGGCTGCAGCCATGAAATGACTGGCAAGATACGCCCATGTGAAACTGCTAGAAAAACGCCTCTGAGCATTCCGACACCTACCTAGTCTTCTACAATACATACCCCACCTAATAAATCTTTTTTTGTTTTTGCTTTCTTTTAAATAACTTGGGGCCTGGAAGAATGGCACCTGAGAAATTAACTAATGTGTTTTGCTCTGGCCACCAAAGGAGATTAAAAAACATTTTTAAAATTTTATGTTAGGGGCCGGTGCTGTGGCACAGCGGGTTAATGCCCTGGCCTGAGGCACTGGCATCCCATATGGGCGCCGGTTTGAGTCCTGGCTGCTCCACTTCTGATCCAGCTCTCTGCTGTGGCCTGGGAAAGCAGTAGAAGATGGCCCAAGTCCTTGGGCCCCTGCACCCACATGGGAGATCCGGAGGAAGCTCCTGGTTCCTGGCTTCGGATCGGCGCAGCTCTGGCCGTTGCAGCCATCTGGGGAGTGAACCAGCCAATGGAAGACCTCTCTCTCTCTCTACCTCTCTCTGTAACTCTGTCTTTCAAATAAAAAATATTTTTAAAAAATTTATGTGAAAATCTTCCATTATAAAAATAATACAAGATCCCTGTTGATGGTTTTAAAATACAGAGAAACAAAAAGAGGAAAACTCAGGGGGCAACTTTTGGGCGCAGCAGTGAACATTACTGCTGGGATCACATATCCCATACCAGAATGTCCACGGCAGAGTCCCAGCTCCGCTTCTGATTTCAGCTTCCTGCAGGTGCACACCTGAAAGGCAACAAGTGATGGCCCAAGCAGCTGGGGACCTGTCACCCAACCGGGAGACCTGGATTGAGTTTGAGGGTCCTGCTTTGGCCTTGGCATTTAGAGAGTAAACCAGCAAATAGGAGTTTTCTGTCTCCCTCGTTCTTTCTGCCTTTCAAATAAATAAAAATAAATTTTGAAAAAGAAGAAAAGTTAAATTGAATATACTTCCACCAACCAGAACTAACCAGTTCACACTTTGATGCACTTTATACCAAACTTTATAATTCACATATACACTTCCAATTCAACTTGGTTTGCAACTTAACTATAGGTTGTGTCCCCGAGTTCATCCATTTACAGCTTCTGGAGCTGAGAGCAACAGAACTGACTGCCCAGAGGAGATGGAAGAGAGCAGTCCACACTGGGTACAGTCTAGCACACAGTGAGTGTTTATAGCCAGAAGCTTCTATGGCATTTTAAAATAATTATTTGAGAGGCAGAGACAAAGAGCGAGATGCAGGGAGCGCTCCTATCTGCTGCTTCACTCCTCAACTGCCCACATCAGGCTGCAGCTGGCAGCCAGGACTCAATCCAGGTCTCCCACGTGGACGGCAGGGACCCAAGCGCTTGAGCCACCTGCTGCCTGCCAGAGAGTGCACTAGCAGGAAGCTGGAATTAGAAGCAGAGCTGGAACGCAAACCAAAGGCCTCCCACACGGCATGCAGGTGTCTCCAGAGGGGTTCGTAACTGCTACGCCAGCGCCTGCCTCTCCCATGGCATTTTTATTGTAAAATATTTTAGGTCGTTAAATAGTCCTGTTGTGTCATCTTAAGTGACCACACGATGGACACATGTAATGTTGCATGGAAATAGCTAAAGTTCTTCAGCACAGGTCCATCTCCTGTTGCTAGACATCAAGGTTCCTCCCACGGAGCCACTCGGAAGCTCACTGTTAACAGCTACGGCCACTAACAACAGCATTTGTACGCTCCTCCTTCCCTGGTTCCAGTTTTCCAAATCTCATTCTATTTTACCTTTTTATTTATTATTATTGTTATATACTTATCATTGGTTCTTTTTTTTTTAAGGATTTATTTATTTATTTGAAGGTCAGAGTTACACAGAGAGAGGAGAGGAGCGGCAGAGACAGAGAGAGGTCTTCCATCCAATGGTTCACTCCCCAGATGGCTGTAACGCCCAGAGCTGAGCCAATCCGAAGCCAAGAGCAAGGAGCTTCTTCTGGGTCTCTCATGGGGGTCCAGAGGCCCGAGCACTTGGGCCATCTTGTACTGCCTTCGCAGGCCATAGCAGAGAGCTGGATCAGAAGTGGAGCAGCCAGGACTCAAACTGGCGCCCATACGGCATGCCGGCACTGCAGGCGGCGGCTTTACCTATCATTGGTTGTAATTATCATAAAGGCCTTAAGTATCTCTGCAGGGTTCCCACTCTATGGCTCAGTAAAATGCTGCCTGAGGGCCCACACAAGTCTGAATCCCTCTGAGAGGACGAAAGCCAAGGACAACCTTCTCACCCGGTATCGGGCCTCCGGACGGATCATCATGGACATTCTCGCGTGCTGGCTCAATGGCCTCTTGTATCCCACGGCGGAGACCGGCCGCTTCATCATCTGCTGATTCCTGGGGACAGGGTGCAGTGGTGAGGGGCCTGGTGGGAGTGTGGCTAGGAGCCCCCAACCAGTCTGTGGATCAAGCTCTCAGAAGACTTAGCCAGGGAGAAAGTGAAGCAAGCAACTCCCTGGGCTGAGGGCCGACACAGTGGGCCAGGAGCTGCTTCTACCATCTGCAGGAGTTGTTTTCTGACTCCCACGTGAGCATCATGCATTAGTAAGCTGGGAGGGGTCTCATCATCCAGACAGCAGACACAGAGCATTGCTGTCCACTCTCCTGGCCTTCCCAGTGGACCCAGACTGACACACAAGGTAACACTTGTTTGGCCTGGCATGCTGGGTAAAGAGATAAGCAGGGACTTGGGAAAGGTCCTTAGCTTACTAGTGACAAAGTCTCCCAATTCCTAATACCACACTCACCAAACTCTTACCTCGCGGACTTACAGCAGCCGTGCAGTCAAAAATGCAAGGGGCTCGGAGTTTAAATGAATCAAACTGTCTCACCACCTTGGGCAGGACCAGCTTATCAACCTTCTTCCCCTCCGCCCCACCTTACAGGCCACTGCTTAAAGTAACTTACTCCAGTCTCGTTATCGGATGTAACTTCCAATGATCTTCCTCTTCATCAAAGAAGGATCTGTTCATAATTTTACTTTTTTCTTCCAGAGGGATAAAGTTTTCTATAATAAGATGCCTGTAGGGGCACACACAATGTGAATGAACACAGATAAGGACTTCTGGCCTCACACAAAAGGATCAGGTAGGCACCAGACCACTCAGCAAACATTTCCGACCAGGTACTGCGGGCCCAACAGCACACGTGGACGGCACCTGGTCCCCGCCTGAGACAGCGGGTAACTGTGCGGCACTCTCAGGTCTGTCCCAGGCATGTGGAGAGATCCCCTGCCCAGGGAGCAGCAGCCTGAGGAGGGGAACAGTGAAAATGGAGGCAATGCCAGGCCAGCAGCCGAGTCAATGTCTGCCGCTCCTGCGTCTTTTAGAGGCCCCGGGTCTTTCACAGCCAGCTACAGGGTGGTGCCCAGGGTCTCCGGTCACTGGCAGTGAAGGTCTCATGTACCCTTTAGAGGGCATCTCTTACATGCTGCTAACGCAGTCAGTACAGCTGAAAGCACTTTTAAAAAACTGATCAGAAATTAAACTGCCTTCCTCCAGTCCCACGTGGTCAGCGAGACCAGAAGCGGGACTGAGTGGACCGCAGGCCCTGCGAGTGCTGGGAAGGCAGACCACTGGGCAGTCTCCATCCAACACATGCCCAGGGCCGCTGGTCTGCGATAACTGTCTCCTGTCCCCAGGAAGGGACCACGCCAAGGGGCTGTGCACATGGGCGGGGCCAGAACAAGCCCCTGGAAGTTGCAGGACACTGAGAGGCAGGTGTTGACTCACTGTGTATTCAAAAGATAGAAAACGCTTCCTTAGGAAAAAAATATTTGGAGGACATATTTTCTCTTCACTTTGTATGATATTTCAGAAATTATTTTTATAACGTACCTTAGTTTTTTTTTCTGATTACCAAGGTCCTGGTTACTCATTAGAAAATGTGAAAAACATAATTACCTTCCATTTTACCACCCAGAGATAGCTATTACTAGGTTTTTGGTATATTCTGTCCTGATTTTTTTCAAAGTACACACACCTACAAAGAGGCCTGAATGATACATTTAATTTTAAGATCTGCTTTCCAGATTGAAACTTGGCCATTAAAACAATCTCCTGGAAAAGTTTTTCTTTCTTTTTAAAATTTTCTCCCTGGGGCCAGCCCTGTGGAATAATAGGTGGAGCTTCCGCTTGTGGCGTCAGCATCCACACCGGCACCAGTTCTAGTCTCGGCTGCTCCGCTTCCGATCCGGCTCCTTGCTGATGGCCTCGGAAAGCAGTGGAAGACGGCCCAAGTGCTTGCACCCTGAACCCAGGTGGGAGACCTGGAAGAAGCTTCTGGCTCCCATCTTTGACCTGACCCAGTTCAGGCCTGGGAAGTAAACCAGCAGATGGAAGACCTCTCTGTCTTTCTGTGGCTCTGCCTCTCAAATAACTACACACTCATTAAAAACATTTTTATCCCTTCCTTCTCCTCCTTCCTCCCAACTCTCTCTCCTTTTCTTTCTTTCTCTCTCTCTCTCTCCTCTCTTTCTCTCTCTCTCTCTCCTTTTCTCTCTTTCTCTCTTTCTCTCTTTCTTTCTTTCTCTGCCTGCCTGCCTGCCTGTCTTTAAGGCAGAGCATCAGAGAGGAATCTTTATCTGCTGGTTCACTTCCCTTCCAGGCTGGCCCAGGCTGAAGCCAGGAGCTGGGAACTTGATTTGAGTCTCCAACACGGGTGGCAAAAACCCAAGCAATTGAACCATTATCTGTTGCCTCCTGGGGTACACAGTAGCAGGAAACTAGAATCAAAAGCAGAGCTGGGACTTGAACCCAGGTACTTGAAAATGGGATGCAGCTGTCCCAAGTGGCATCTTAACTTCTGCACCCAACTCACATCCCTGACAAGTTTTCCACTGGGGCTGGCATTGTGGCACACACTGCCTGCGATGCTAGGATCCCATATGAGCACCAGTTCAAGCCCCGGCTGCTCCACTTCCAATCCAGCTCCCTGCTAATGGGCCTGGGAAAGCAGTAAAAGACGGTCCAAGTGCTTGGGCCCCTGCACCCACATGGGAGACTCAGAAGAAGTTCAGGGCTCCTGGCTTCAGCCTGGCCCAGCCTTGGCTGTTACAGCAAACCAGGGGATAGATCTTAATCTCTCTCGTCCTCGGGACTTGCAACTGAGCATGGGAAATCTATGTCTCTCTTTCTGCCTCCCAAATCAAGCAATGAAGTAATGAAGTAAGGAAGGGAGGGAGGGAGGGAGGGAGGGAGGGAAGGAGGGAGGGAGGGAGGATAGGAGGGAGGGAGGGAGAGAAGACTATTCATCTGATCTTGTTACTGAAATCTGAGCTATGGGTACTGTGTTCATTACAGCATCCAGAAAATTCTCATAATGAAAGCCAATAATAAAAGGTCAGAACTTTCCAAAGCTTCTAGCAGGTAGAGTGGAAGGGAACTGAGAGGTCATCTGGCAAGGTCATTCAGTTAACCAAGGGGACCCAGAGATGGAAAGAATGGATCTTGGGAATAAACCGAAGACACACAGGGTGGGGGATGAGCTAGAGGGAGGCAGGCAGGGGCTCTGACCTCAGGGGTGCTTCTCACTGAGCAAACAAGACCACCGAGCCAGCAAGTGGCCTGGGGCAGGGGGAGAGCCCTGGCTTACTTGAGTTTCAGCTCCCTGGTGAGCTCATTCTGAGTCTGCTCCAGCTCTTGGCGCTCCTTGATGTGCTCTTCTTGCAGGTCGTGGATCTCGGCCTTCACTGCCTGAAGCTTGGAGAAGAGCTGGAAGCGCGTGGGGGTGGGAGGGGGCAGGTGAGGAGGGCGTCCAGCCGAAGAGCAGAATTCTCCCTCCCCGTGTCCCCAGGCACGGTGGCCTGGCCTTCTCCCTTTTATACCTTTTTGAGTTTTTTGGTCTTGATGTCCACCTCCTGCTGCAATGAGCTGTACGTCTCTTTCAGCTCCAAAGTCTCCTCATCTCGACTTTCCATCTGCTGCTGGATCTCTCTCTCTCGACGTTTCTGAGCAACATCACAAAGTTCGTCAGCCGGCCCTGAGACTAAGTCTACACAAGAACAGGACTGGCCTCCAGAGAGCTCACGGAAAGCGGGCGCTATGGCAGATGGAACCAGAATAAAGGGATCTTTGGATTCCATCATTCCATGCGCTTTCTGCAGGCCCTCACGCACGCACGGCTGGGTGCTCCAGATCAGTCTGCAGCTCAGAAGAGGCTGCCACACCTCCCTTCCTGCCCTTCCCAGAGAACCTAGCACCGGAGCAGCCTGCCCTGTAGCTGGGACGCCCCTTGGCCCACCTGTTTCCCCAGAAGAGAATGAACTTACCTGCTCTGCAATTTCCTGTCGCTTCTGTTCCAAGATCTTCTGCTGTTCGTTCGTATGATCTACTATATTTTTTCCTCCAACCAGCAGCTTGCTCTCCATGGCCTGGGGAAGAAACAGTAGAATCCGGCTCGTGAACGGCCTCGTGGGAGTCCGGGAAGGGGAAGGAGCGCAGGGCTGAGGCAGGGGCATGGACGGGCTGAAGAGCAGCGCTGCTCAGCGGTGCTCTGCCTCCCCGGGACAGGGCTGGGCTGCCTTCCCGGGGGCCACACCTCAGAACACGGAAAACACCCCTTCTCCAAACATACGAGGATTCGGCTTTAACAGAACAGCTTCTGGTTGGTTTATACAAAGTATTAATCCCATCTAGCACACAGTGAGGGTCTCCCATGTGCTGGGCATTGGGGATGCAAACATCAGCACACAGCACAAAGCTCAGAGTCCACCGAGTGTCACGACAAGGAAGCATGGCACACGCCATGAAACATGGCGTCGGACAGCTAACTAGTGGCACAGGCACCCCACAGGGAAGGACTTGTGGAGGGAGTCAGGGAAAGTTTCCTGTCTGAAGGGAAACTGACATGGAACTGAAGTAAACCCTAGGAACTAGACAAGAAAAGAAAAAAAAAGGGAAGGAGAAAAAGGGGCACAGCAGGTAAAGCCAAGGCCTGCATTGGCAGCATCCCGCGTGGGCATCAGTTTGTGTGCCAGCTGCTCCACTCCTTTCCAGCTGCCTGCTAATGGCCTGGGGAAAACTGCAGAGGATGGGCCAGAGGCTCGGGCCCCTGCCACCCACATGGGAGACCCAGAAGAAGCTTCTGGCTTCAGCCTGACCCAGCGCTGGCTGTTGTGGCCATCTAGGGAGTAAACCAATGGACAGAAGATCTCTCTCTAAGACTTACTTATTTGGAAGTCAGAGTTACAGAGAGAGAAAGAGAGACACATAGAGAGACAGACAGATCTTCTATCTGCTGGTTCACTCTGCAAAACACCCTTAACAGCCAAGGCTAGGTCAGGCCATATCCAGAAGCCAGGAACTCCACCGGGGTCTCCCACGTGAGCGGAAGGGGTCCAAGTACTTGAGCTATCTTGTGCAGCTTCCCAGAGTGCACTTGAGTATGAAGCTAGATCAGAAATGGAGCAGCCCAGGCTTGAACTGGATTCCAATATAGACACTGGAAGCACCAGTTTAACCAGCTGTGCCACAATGCCCACTATCCACATTTTGTTAAATCTGAAAAGAAAACCATTTTCTTAGCTCTGCTTCAATTCAACAGCTGTCTGTGAGCACGGGGCACGGTGGAGCTGCTCCGGCGGCAGCGGGGCAGCGGCCGCGGCAGGGGCGCAGGCTCGGGGAGGCGCCACGGCAGGGGCGCAGGCTCGGGGAGGCACGGTACCTTGATCTTTGCCCCCAGCATCTCGGCTGCATCCTTCTCCCGCCGCAGGTCCTCCATCTTTTTCTCCTTCTCCTTCAGCAGCCTCATCTTCTCCTCTGCAACCAAGCTGTGGTCCTCTACAATAGCCCGCTTCTCAATCTCCAGTTTCTCTTGCTGCTCCCGCCAGTAATCATCCTTATCATCCCCTTCCTCCTCACCCTCGTCTCCCTCCTCCTCCTCCTCTTCCCCACCCCCGCCACTGCCACCACCTTCCCTCCGCTTCTCTCGCCTCTTCCTCCTGCCAATGGACCGTTTTTCCAGCTGGGCCTTGAGCCGAGCAATTTCTTCCTGGAATTCTCGCAGGAGGGCATCCTTAGGGTCCTCGTTGACTCTTGGCTTGTTCTTAATGTTTTTGGCACGGTTGGCATATCTCAGGGTGGTCAAAGTCTCCTCTACGTTGTAGGAAGCAGGCCCTACGTTGGCCACCATTACCGTCTTAGCGTTGCCACCGAGGGAATCTTGGAGGAGCCTGGTGAGCTTGGAGTCCCGATAAGGAATGTGAGTGCTTTTGCCGTCTACCAGGGCAGAGATGACATTCCCCAAGGCCGACAGGGAGAGGTTGATCTTGGTTGCCTCCTTCAGTCTTTCCCCTTGAGCGCCCGTCTTGGCTTGCCGTTCGCTGCCAGCAAGATCTACAAGGTTCAGTTTGCCCACGCGGATGTGGTTTTCACCATCGAGGCCCACTTCGCTGCACTCGACAGTGATGACGAAAATCGCGTGAGAGCGCGAGCTGTGCTCGTTCATGTTGGTAGCGCCGACGGAGCGGTTCTGGTTCCCCACGTTCATCACGTGCTCTATCTCCTTCACGCTCTTGGTGACAAAGGAAGACAGATCCTTCACGTACACTCCGGTGTCAGGCCTCTCCTTGAGCTCGAGCCGTTTGGTTTGATCCTTTGAGAGCAGATCGCGGATCTCCTCCTGGTAGATCTCCAGGTAAGAAGCCCTGACCAGGTACTGCTGATTCTGAGAGCGAGAGATGTGGGTGAAGATGTGGTCGAACGAGTTAGGGATGACTCCTCTTTTCTCGGGGTCCCCACGGACCCCTTCCATCGTGTAAGTTTTCCCGGTCCCGGTCTGTCCGTAGGCAAAAATCGTCCCGTTGAAACCTTGCAGGACCGAGTCCACGAGCGGTCGGAACGTCTCATCATAGAGTTCAAACTGCTTGGCGTTCCAGTCGTAGACGGCATCAAAGGTGAAGGTCTTGGGCATTTCATGGGCCACTCCTTTGGGGTTCTTCACAGACACCTGCCCCAGCTTCACGTCCACATCCACCACCTTGTCGTACGAAGCAGCCTTTTCCTTGCCGTTCATGGGCCGGCAGCGGACCACCACCCTGACCGACTCCGAGCTTTTCAGCTTTGACATGATGACCTCGGACTGGGTCAGTCTTGAGGGCGATGAATCCAAAATGCCTCGGGACACTAAGGTCCTAGAACAAGAGCAAACATGAGTACAGACAGTGGTCAGCAGGAGTTGTGCACACCAGCACACACACCCAAGCGTTCTTCATCTTGCTAATCTCCTGACAGTCCTACTGAATAACTCACGGGACCTTTACCAGCCTTAGTGGTCAAAGCACAGTTACAACAAACTCCACCCGCCAGCCCAGCTTCCCCGCCATCAATACTTGCTATTACACACCATATCCTGAGGCACCCAGAAACCTCGTATAAGCCCTCGTGACCTTATATCCTGCTGACCTACCATAACCTTTGAGTACAACATTCAGAAATCGTAGAGAAGTTATCCTGCAAATCCATGTCTTATTCAAAGATATATATATACAAGGATATTTATTGTAGCATCATTTGCAGTAGCAACAGACCATGGACTACTTCAATTCTTTTTTTTTTTTCCTTTTTTTTGACAGGCAGAGTGGACAGTGAGACAGAGAGAAAGGTCTTTCTTTTGCCGTTGGTTCACCCTCCAATGGCTGCTGTGGCCGGCGCACCGCGCTTATCCAAAGCCAGGAGCCAGGTGCTTCTCCTGGTCTCCCATGCGGGTGCAGGGCCCAAGTACTTGGCCCATCCTCCACTGCACTCCCGGGCCACAGCATAGAGCTGGACTGGAAGAGGGGCAACCAGGACAGAATCCAGCGCCCCAACCGGGACTAGAACCCGGTGTGCCAGCGCCATAGGCGGAGGATTAGCCTAGTGAGCCGTAGCGCCGGCCTTCAATTCTGATCAAGACTGTACTGATGGGGCCAGTGCTGTGGTGCAGTGGGTTAACCCCCTGGCCTGAAGCGCTGGCATCCCATATGGGTGCCATATGGCTGCTCCACTTCCAATCCAGCTCCCTGCCAATGGTCTGGGAAAGAAGCAGAGGATGACCCATGTCCTTGGCCCCCTGCATATACGTCGGAAACCAGAAAGAAGCTCCTGGCTCTTGGCTTTGGATGGGCCCAGCTCTAGCCATTGTGCCATTTGGGGAGTGAACCAAAAGATGGAGGATCTCTCAGTCTGTCTGTCCCTCTCTCTATGTATAACTCTGTCTTTCAAACTAAATAAAATAAATCTTTTAAAATTTTTTATTATTTTATTTTATATAATAATAATTTAATATAATAATTTTTAAAATAATGTTTTAGTATTTTTAAAAAAAATTATTTATTTTGTTTGAAAGGCAGAGTTACAAAGAGAGGTAGAGAGAGAGAGAGAATCTTCCATCCACTGGTTCACTCCCCAGATCGCTGCAATGGCCAGAGCTGCGCCAATCTGAAGCCAGGAGCCAGGAGCTTCTTCCAAGTCTCCCATGTAGGTACAGGGATCCATGGACTTGGGACATCTTCCACTGCTATCCCAGGCTATAGCAGAGAGCTGGATCCGAAGAGGAGCAGCTGGGACTAGAACCGGTGCCCATATAGGATGCCAGCACTTCAGGCCAGGGCTTTAACCCACTACACCACAGCGCTGGCCCCATAAATAAATCTTAAAAAGAAAAAAATGTGTAATCTAAATGTAATCCTATATCAAGATAAGTTAAAAAAAAATAGTAGATGAGGAACTGTGTTTACTATAGTTTACATAGTGTATCAAAAAGAGAATATATACCAAAAATGAACCCTACCATAAACAATGGACCTAGGGTTATAACCACGTGTCAATGTACTCACCACCTGTAACAAATGTGCCACTGGCGGGGGATGCTGATAATGGGGGAGGCCTTGTACTTGTAAAGACAGGAATGAAACAGAAATCTCTGTGCCTTCTGCTCAATTTTGCTGAGAACCTAAAACTCCTCCAAAAATAAAGTCTCTTTAAAAAAAAAAATAAGCAAGCAGGGGCCGGCACTGTGGCATAGAGAATGCAGTGCTGGCATCCCACAGGGGTGCCAGTTCAAGTCCCAGCTGCTCCACTTCTGATCCAGCTCCCTGCTATGGCCCTGAAAAGCAGTAGAAGATGCCCGCTCCTTCCTTCTCTTTCCGGTAGCGGAGTCCGGCGAAGACGCACAGCAATGGCACCTCGCAAGGGGAAGGAAACGAAGGAGGAACAGGTCATCAGCCTTGGGCCGCAGGTGGCTGAGGGGGAGAATGTCTTCGGTGTCTGCCACATCTTCGCGTCCTTCAATGACACCTTCGTCCATGTCACTGATCTTTCTGGCAAGGAAACTATCTGCCGAGTGACCAGCGGCATGAAGGTGAAGGCCGACCGAGACGAGTCCTCGCCATACACTGCCATGTTGGCCGCCCAGGATGTAGCTCAGAGGTGCAAGGAGCTGGGCATCACCGCCCTCCACATCAAGCTCTGGGACACAGGAGGAAATAGGACAAAGACCCCTGGACCTGGGGCCCAGTCGGCTCTCAGAGCCCTTGCCCGCTCGGGTATGAAAATCGGGTGAATTGAGGATGTCACCCCCATCCCCTCCGACAGCACCCGCAGGAAGGGGGGTCGCCGTGGTCGCCGCCTGTGAACAGGACTCCCCAGATTGTTTTCTGTTAATAAATTGCCATCGAAAAAAAAAAAAAAAGCAGTAGAAGATGGCCAAGTGCTTGAGCCCCTGCACCCCTGTGGGAGGCCGGGAAGAAGCTCCCGGCTCCTGGCTTCAGATCAGTGCAGCTCCAGGTGTTGGAGCCATTTGGGGAGTGAACCAGTGGATGGAAGATTCTATCTCTCTGCCTTTGCCTCTCTGTAACTCTGCCTTTTAAATAAACAAATAAATCTTTAAAAAAAATTAGCAAGCAAATATGTACAAAAAATGGGAGGCATCCGCATGCCTGATATGTGGGCACTATGACTAGAAGCACACATGTAGACCTTGTAATAGCTCAGCAAGAGAATCAAGGGCCTAGGGGGTCTCAGAGGTCGAGAGAGAGATAAGTGGACAGTCATTTATACTGTCTGAATCCCTAGCTTTCAATCCCAAAAGAATCAAGTCCTGGTTGCTCTACTTCTGACCCAGCTCCCTCCTAATGTGCTGGGAAAGCAGTGGAGGATGGCCTAAGTCCTTGAGCCCGTGTACCCACATGGGAGACCTGGAAGAAGCTCCTGGCTCCTGGCTTCAGATCAACTCAGCTCTGGGCACTGAAGCCATTTGGGGAGTGAACCAGCAGATGAAGACCGCTCTCTCTCATCTCTACCTCTGTTTTTTGTTTTTTTGTTTTTTTGTTTTTTTTTTTTTTGTTTGTTTTGTTTTTTTTTTTACAGGCAGAGTGGACAGTGAGAGAGAGAGACAGAGAGAAAGGTCTTCCTTTTCCATTGGTTCACCCTGCAATGGCCGTTGGGGCCGGCACACTGCGACCGGCGCACCGCGCCGATCCAAAGCCAGGAGCCAGGTGCTTCTCCTGGTCTCCCATGTGGGTGCAGGGCCCAAGCACTTGGGCCATCCTCCACTGCCCTCCCTGGCCACAGCAGAGAGCTGGACTGGAAGAGAGCAACCGGGACAGAATCCGGCACTCCAACCGGGACTAGAACCCGGGGTGCCAGTGCCACAGGCGGAGGATTAGCCTAGTGAGCCATGGTGCCGGCCTCTACCTCTCTCTGGAACTCTTTCAAGTAAATAAAATAAATCTTTAAAAAAAGAAAAAGAAAACTGTAGGGGCGGGTATTGTGGTGTGGCGAGGTGAGCCACCACTTGGGATGCCCACATGATGTATCAGAGTGCCAAGGACGGAGTTCTGACTGAGCCTCAGGCTGAGCTCCCTGCTAACGCACCTGCAGGCAGCAGAGGATGTCCCAGACACTTGGGTCCCTGCCAGCACTGTGGGAGACCCATACGGAATCCCTGGATCCTACCTGCAGCCTGGCTCATCCCCCACTGCTGTGGACATTGAGGGAGTAAACCAGTAGATAGAGGATCTGTCTCCCCCCCTTTCTGTCCCTCTGGCTGCCAGATAAATAAAAAGAAAAAAAGAAGGAAAAAAGCTGTAAAAAGCAGCCTTTCAGTCCACTCATCACCTTATGGAAGCTACTAGAATTTGCCATATGGTTAGAATGGCCAATTTACCACTTCCCTCCATTTTACCAGAGACCTGACTAAGCTGGTCTAGGCCCTTGAGCGTCCTTGGGGAAGCCTCTGCTATAGAGTCTGGAATGGCCAGACAAAAGCCTAGAACTGGAGCAGTAAACGGCGGTAGATATTTAGAATGGCGCTGGGGATACCTCGGAGTCCGGAATCGGGATGCCTCGGTTCCAGTCCTGGCCCTGCTCCCAGCTACAGCTTCCTGCTAATGAGCACCATGGGAGGCAGCAAGGGATAGCGCAGGTACCTGGGTCCCGAGCACCTACATGGGAGATCTGGATGAAGTTACAGGCTCCTGGCTTTGACCTGGCCTAGCCCAGTGCTGAGGCATGTGGACGCGAGCTCGCTCGCTCTCGCTCGCTCTCTGCCTTAAGATAAATGAAATAGTTTTAATAAGAAAGAAAAAGAGCAATGTAGAGGCTCAGAGAAAGGGCAGGGCAGACAGGGCAGTGGAGAGGACTGCGTCCTCTGCATTAACACCCAAGGAGGCTGAGTATCTGACTTTTGCCTTCCAAAACAATGTGGTCCCAAGTCTGATTAAAAACAAAACAGGACCAGCATTGCCATGCAGCAGCTGTCATGCTGTCGCCTGCAATGCCAGCATCCCATACGTGTGCCGATTCAAGTCCCAGATGCTCCACTTCTGACCCAGCTCCCTGCTAACAGCCTGGGAACGCAGCAGAAGATGCCCAAGTGTTGGGACTCTGCCACCCACAGTTGAGACCTGGAAGAAGCTCCTGGCTCCTGGCTTCAGCCTGGCCCAGCCCTGGCTATTGTTGCCATCTAGGGAATGAACCAGTGGGTCAGAGATATCTCTCTGCATCTGTCTCTATCTCTGTCTCTTTCAAAAATAAAATAAATCTTTAAAAATAATAAAACAAAAACAAAAAATCCTGCAGCAAGGTGACCTTGAGGTTTAGCTACTTCATTACAGCTCAGGATATTTTTTGAGCCCTCTAAAATGATTTAAAA